CTGCCCCCCATGATGCGGCCGCCGCTCCCTGCGGAGGGGCCAGGCACCATCCCCCCTCCGCCTCCTTCCAACTGAAGCCCCTCCTGGACTCTGTCCCTCTGGATTTGTCTCTTTTTAGCCTCAGATCATGCCTGATTCAGGGATCTGTTTTGTATGCCCAGGAACTTGTCTGAATTCTGTAGGATCGTTTAAAAGATTTTTGATTTTCCTTTCTCTCTGTTTTCCTGTGGTTTGGGTCAAAATGTTGCTGTGGGTTCACTTTCTTTAACCCTTAGATATAGAAAACATTCCCAATCTGGTTGTAGTTTGGAAATTCTCCAAAGAGGAGGCAAAGGATTGGGAATCTCAAGGGGCCTTAGCTCCTGACTGGACATCTCCAGCCTCAACTCTGTGGGCTTTATGTGTCCTCCATTCAGACTGCCTGATGAGTGTCCCCCATTACTTAGCCCCTGTTAATCGGTTTCTCTTCAACTGAAGCCCTTCATTGAGCTGTTCAGTCACTGAGGGGGAACATGGAAAGGCTCCTGGTACTGATACTAAATCTTAGTTTATCATTATAATTCATTGAATGTCTGTACTGTAGTGTAGCACCTGCTGACACATGATTTTGTTGTGTATCCTCCCCTCAGCAGCTCTGTTTGGGCAAAATCTTAGTTCCCTGTGGGTTTATTTGTATTGAATGTTTCCCTCAAACAATCATTTGCCTCCCATTAAGTAGTACAAGGTCTGAGTTGCACCTCCCTGTCCTTGTCAGGGTTCCTGTCACTGAACTGGGGTGTCAGTGGGGGTACCAGGATCCTGGGTGAGCGAGGGTATGTCTGGGGCTGAGGTTCCTGACTGGGAATTCTGGCCTGGCTCTTAGCCCCTGCCAGGCGAATTTGAGGGACCACAGGGTGAATGTCCTGGGCACAGCCCTGCAGCTCTGTGTTCCTTTGATGGGGGAGTTGAAGTCTTCACTCTGCTGCTGGTCTGGGATTGTCCCACCCAGGGTGTCTCACACTGGCCTCACAGCTGTGCCAGGGGCTCTTTGTGTTCAGCTGAGCTGGTCCAATGCTGGAGGTGGCTGATGTGGGGTCATCTTTGCCAGGTGTGTGTCATGGAACGGTTTGGGTTGGAAGGGACCTTAGAGATCATCTTGTTCCACCCTCACCATGAGCGAGGACACCTTCCACTAGCCCAGGTTGCTCCCAGCCCTGTCCAACCTGGTCTGGAACATTTCCAGGGATGGGGCAGCCACAGCTGCTCTGGGCAACCTGTGCCAGTGCCTCAGCACCCTCACAGGGAAGAATTTCTTCCCAATGTCCCATCTATCCCTGCCCTCTGGCAGTGGGAAGCCATTCCCTGTGTCCTGTCCCTCCAGGTCTTGTCACAAGTACCTCTGCAGCTCTCTTGGAGCCTCTTTAGACTCTGGCAAGGACCTTCCCAGAGCCTTCTCTTCTCCAGGCTGAACAGCCCCCCAAGCCTTACAGCCTGGCTCCAGAGCAGAGGGGCTTCAGAGCTTGGAGCATTTCTGTGGCCTTTGTCAGCTCCGTGGCCTCCACCAGCCCTCGCTGTGATGTCCTCGCTCTCCAGTTTGGATGCACTGTCTGTGTTCGGCAGGTTGGATCCTGATCCTGACCCCTGGACTGCAGAGTCTTGGAAACCCAGAGAAAGGTCTGGAACTTTTTGTGGGGACATCTCCCCTTGTCAAAAAAAGGAGATACATTGGGCAAGCAGTAGGTTTCCAGGATGGTTTAGGTAGGTGGCATTGGCAGTTCCAACTGTTACAGTGAGTATTGGCATCTCTTGGAGGGAAAACTCACAATACTTGTGTGTGAGACTTTCTAAGTGAAATTTTGATTTCAAGGTTCTCAGGCTGCTGCTGCACCCCATGATACTCCTTCCCAGGCTGAAACCCCCTCCAGGGCAGCTTCTCTGAGCTGCGGGGTGTGAGGTACCAACTGAGGAGGAAGTTTTCCATATATTTATTTTGTTTCTGCCCATTGTCTGTCTTTGTCCCCTTCCTCCCGGTCAGGCTAATTCTTTCCTGCTGGTGTTTCACTGCTGATGGGATAGTATGTGCCAGTCCCCATGAGGATCCAAGTGCAGACATCCATCCTCCTTCAGAAAACATCCCAAGTCAAGGACATACATCCCTGTGAGTGAGAGAAACAACTTGAATTTTTGTATGTTTCCAAAAGGAGATGCAGACCCAAAAATAGAACAAAAGAGTTTCTTTGCAACCTCCCTCACTTCTTTCCAGCATGACAGGCTTGGAGCTGCTCCGGGGAGGTGTGTTGTCTTGGCTACTCAAGGCCACTGGTTGTTAAAAGGGAGACGCTGTCCTCCCTCTCTGCTGAGTGTTTGGGATGCCTGAGCAGCTCTGAGGGCTACACTGGGAATAGCTGAAGTGGGACCATGAGAGTTGCTCTCAGGGTGTTGTTGCTGTGGCTGCTGCTGTTGCTTCCCTCCACAGCACTGCCGAGGAAGGGGGAAAAGAATTCCCCAACTCACCGACTGGAGCTGAGCCTGCCAGAGGAGCTGGGGCTGGAAGCGGAGGAGAGAAAGAGGCAAAATTCAAGTTTACAGGAAAACGGCGGTGCAAGACGACGGGGGCGGCCTGCCGTGACTCACCTGTCGAAGCCTGACCTAGGTGCCAAATGCCTCCTGGGAATGGCTGAGGATGGAGGCACCGGCTGGTCCCACTCCAGCCTGCACCCCTGGCTGCTCGGGGGACTGGAAGGGCCTGTGTGCAGGGTGAGGATGGAGCAGGACGGGCTCACACCGAGGCACTTGGAAGTGGTGGGTGTTCTCACCCAGTACGAGAGCAGTTTCATCAAGGTGCTACGACGGCACCGCAGCTGGGATGAAAAGTTCCTGGAGACCTTCGGGCTGTGCCCGGTGGGGGAAGCTGGTGCTGCTCCCCATCCCCTGCAGCGCATCCACACACACGTAGTGGAGCCAGGGCTGGATCGCTTCCTCGTCCTGCACCTGGAGGAAGGTTGGTGGGAGATCCTCTCACCGAGGTGGAAGGGAGGAGGCACGGCGGGGGGAGGGTGATGCTGTTTGCTGGCCCTGAATCTGAGATTTAAACCAGAATTTGGGGGTTGGGTTCCCTATAAAATAAGTGAAGTGAAAAGTAAAGTGTCTTTCTGGGTACACTTTTAAGGAGGTTTAACAGTGATGATGGCTATGTGTGACAGGACACCTGTCCCTGCCTCTGTCACTGCCTCTGACCAACGTCCAGGTGCCACAGTCTCAGTGGCTTCTGCTCTGCTCTCATGATTACAAATGTTTCTCACTTTCTGCCTTAATGACGCGGGTTTGGATCCTGTCCCGGTTCTGAGAAGAGAGGAGAGGGTTGGACCCGACTGGTCCCGCTGTGGCATGAGCCCTGCACGTGCCGATCTCCCACGCTGGGGGCTGTGGAGCAGCCTGGGGTCCTGGGCTGCTCCTGGAGCTTCATCCTTCTGGGGAAACCAGCAACACACGTTCCTCTGTCCTTTCCCGGGGCTGAGCCTGGTGCTGGAGCAAAATTCTCCTTTTTAATCCATAGCAAGGGGATCATGGTTGTTTCTCTCTTCCTGAAATCTCTTCCTCCCTTCATGGGTTTTCAGCTGAACTCACCATTGCTGGGCAGTGGGGAAGCAGCTCTTCCCAGTCTGCGGTGTTCCTGAGCCCCAGGAGATTTCCATGGGAATCTGCCCATGAGAATTTGGCAGAGCTGCTCTGGGGTGGGACAGCCCCCTGCTTGATGGGGTGCAGGGTTTGTCCCCTGCCCACCTCCCTGGAGCCAAGGACAGGGGGTTGCCGTGTCCCTCCACCCTGTCGGCTCCTGTCCCAGGTGCTCTGGTCCCTGCACTGGAGCGGTGCTTGGCTCCAAAGTCCTTTCCTCACCCCCCACCCCCTGGGAGCTCCGCGGCGCAGGGGGGCGATTCAACCCCCTCCCCCTTCCAGTGCAGTGGGAAGCGCAGGCGAAGCTGCGGTTCAAGCTGGTTTTCCAGGCAGAGGGGGGCCGGGCGCTGGGAGAGCTGCAGGTGGCTCTGATGCTCTTCTATCTGGGCCGCCGAGAGGGACAGGGCACCGAGGAGCTG